CAGCAACTAGGCTAAGCGCTCGGGGACCAGGTGGGGGAATTAGGGTTTAGGGTTTAGGGTTTAGGGTTTACATAGGACTTGAGGATGTCTATGTCTGCTGCATCCAGCGGCGGCGGTGCTGCAGTATTTTTGTCCTTCTCTGACTCATCGCCCTTAGGCCGAGAGCTGCTGGGGTTCGCCATCTCCCTTGCGGCCCCCAACCTGCAGCAGCAGCAACAGCAGCAGCAGTAGCAAATGCAGCAGCAGCAGCAACAGAGGCGGGATATAATCGAGGTGCTGACAGAATCCAACAACAGGGGCCGTGCAACTTGAGCTGCAGAAGCTGTTGCTGCAGCAAATGCAGCAACAGCAGCAATGGCTGCAGTAACAAGAGCAGCAGACTTAAAAGTATCCAGCAAAACCCAGCAGCAGCGAGCTGAAAATAGCACGGAAAGCAAAACTACGGGATACATCTGTTGTTGCAGCTGCAACGGCAGTTGCTGCTGCTGTTGCTGCGTCTGCTGTTGCTGCTCCTGCTGTTGCTGCTGACAAGGGGCCCCCAAGGAGCTGCGTACAGAGCAGCAGAGCCTCCTGTGCCTACAGGGCGCTGGGAGGCAGGAGCAGCAGCAGCAGCCAGAGAAGTCCCTATAGCACTGGCGGCAGCAGCAACTGCTGCTGCTGCTGTTTGTTGGAGCTGCTGCTGCCAAGGGGCCCCCTGCACCTTGGGGGCCCCCGGATGCACCGGCTGCCACTGAGTTGTGTCTGTCGCTCTGCAGCCACAAAGACCTTCTAAAGATGCCAAAATTCAAAACGTACAGAGATAATAAATAATGAAGCCCCCGGGGGCAGCAGACGCGGAGGAGAGCGGCAACACAGCTCCAGGTGTATGTACACAAGTCACCCAGCAGCAACAGCAGCTCCTTAACTAGGGTTTAGGCCGTCCTTTTGTAGCTCTTGTTCTTTCAATCAAAAGTGTTTAAACGCCTCCAACTCGCGGGCATAGACAGCCTTGGCTGCTGCTGCTGCTGCGGCTTCTGCAGCTGCAGCGGCGGCTGCTGTTGCTGTTGCTGCAGGCAGCAGCAGCAACATGCGTTCATCACAAATGCCCTAAAGCCTTACTTAGCAAACCAATTAGAGATTAATTTTTAGATTCAATTGACTTCGTAAACGCTGGATCTAAATTTATGAAATATCCAAACACCGCGCTGCAGTTGCTGCTGTTGCAGCCTTGCCTAGAGTATATAGGCAGCTGGGGCGTTTCAAGAAGAGAGCTCTAGCGGATCTGGGGTGTACGTACACCTGAAACAAACACTGCCGCCTCGCCAGCACTGCGCGGCTCTAGTCTCCATAGGCAGGGCTCTCCTTATTGTCTGTGGGAACCGAAACGCCCCCTTGGGGTTTACGAGGGTTTAGGGTTTGGGCACATCCGCCCCAAACCACACACAGGCCTGTTCCCCTGTGGCAACGCCCAGCAAGCGGCGTGCCTGAAGTGGCCGGGAGTAAAGGGGGCCCCTCAGCAGCGCCTTGGGGGTCCCTTGAGCTCAGTTTGAAGGGCCTGTTGTGCACAGGGGACCCCCATGGGGCCCCTGGGTACGCAGCTGTGGGGCACGGCCAGCCTACCTCCACCCACGGGCCCCTCACGGCTCTTACAGACACCCCCGCAATCCCTAGGGGTGCGCCTGAGGGGCCGCAGGGGGTCCCCCGAAGCCCCGACTGCTGCGGCCACTGGGGCCCCTGGGGCTCGACCCTGCAAAAATGGCTCCTTTGCAGGCGCCTCCAGTAGCTCTCACTGGAAAGCGCAGCTTAAAGGAAAAGTACTCATGTTGTGCCTATTACGATATGTTCTAGAGGGAATTGATGTTTAGACACTGTGTTAGGTGCAAATTGATGTTTAGACACTGTGTGAGGTGTACAGACACCTCCACTGGTAGACTCCTCTAACCAAAACAAAGGGGTCAAAACCAAAGTGGCAAAGGGGGGCCCCCAGAGGGCCCCCTCAGGGCCTCTAGGGCTTGTGGAGGCTCTTAGGGGCCCACAAAAACGGCTTTAGTTTGCGGCCCAATTCTGATTTGTCAAACCCCCCCTCAATTCTTTATAATGAAGGGCTTCGGGCCCCACACTGCGCATCTAGGTCTAGCTGATGGGCCCCTTGCTCTCAGCTAAAAGGCCATTAAAGGGAAAGCTGAGGGCCCCCGTTCTGTCTGTAGGGGCCCCAGCTGGCCTTTTTTGTTCAGTGCTAATGAGGCTACAGGAGGGCTCATAAGGCCAGGTTCAGGTGTACGTACACCCCATGGCTATGTGCACACACTTAAGCGCTCGGAGGCTTTTGAGCCTCGAGGGCCCCAGGCCGAAGCCCATCTCGCAGTTGGCATTTCACGGTGGAGACAGAAGCCCACAGGTGCCCTGGCGGGGCCCCCGGGGGGCCCAGAGGCCCCCAAACAACGAGTCCAGGGCCCTAGGGGGCCCCTCACAACCTACAGACAGAACCTGAGATATCTAATAGGCAGCAGGGGCTGTGGGGCCCCTCTCTGCGAACCTGAGGCCCCGGCAAAGTAGCAGCACCTCGAACCAGCAAGAAGAGGCTCCCGCCGTCCTCTCCTGCCGGCCTTATCAAACCATACGCTGCTCAAGCTGAGGTCACAGAGGCAGTGGGGCCCCCAAGGGCCCCTGTGGGGCCCTCTGGGTCCCCTGCACCGGGGGCCCCTTGCAGCCGGGGCCCCCATGACGGCAAAAAACGGAAAAAACAGTCTGCTTAAGGGGCCCCCTTTGCTGCCTTGGGGGCCCCCCGCCTCACCTTGAAGCCCCTTGAGGCCTTTGCCCAGCCAGACCGCCTGGCTGCGTGGCTAGGGCCTCGGCGAGGCTTGCAGTGCTGCAGCTACGGGCCAGGGGGGCTGCCGGAGGGACGTTCAGGGGCCCCTGAGCCCCTGGAGCCCCCCGAAGGGTTGCCTGGGGGCCCCCGAACCCCTGGGGGCCCCCCGAAGGGTCGCGTAGGGGCCCGCGAGCCCCTGGGGATCATTCTAGGGGCCCCCAGCCCCTGACTAAAGATTTTGGGGTCCCCGGGGCCCCCAGATAGTGCAGTGGGGAGAGGGGAATGCCCCTCTTGAACTGAAGGAGACAGTTGGAAGTTCGAGGAGGTGACAGGTAGCGATGCTACTGGTGAGCCACGGGGCGGCGCGCCGTGAGACCTGCCCATACACCTGGTGACGACTGTCTCTACGATAGGTTTACAGGGTGTACGTACACCTGAATCTGTGGGGCCGAAGAGCCCCGCCGCCGCGCCCCACATCCCAGTGCAAATTCCCCATTTGTGGGGTGCTTGGGAGGCGTCGGCGGGCGCGTGGGTGTTCCGGGGGGCTAGGGTTTAGGGTTTAGGGTTTGGGGTCAGGAGTAAATGTTGCCGTTCAAGAGGAAGTTGCGCAGAGTTATCGGCACCCGCAGCCGGTGCAGCAACACCACCCGCCCCAGCATCAGAGAACAAACCACCACAGTGGGGGCCGTGAGGGCTATCAGCAGCTCTATGGGGTCCACGGGAAACACCAGCAGAAAGTCTTCGCGCAAAGAGTGGGTCAGCCCCGACAGCGCAGAAACCCCGAAAGGTATTAGAAAAAAACGAACTATTATCCTGCTCGCCAGCCCCACAGCGCCCCGCGCACTCGAGTTCACGCTCTACAGCGTACAGTTTAGGGTCTAGGGTTTAGGGTTTAGGGTTTAGGGGTTGGGGTTTACGGGTTGAGGGTAGCGGGCGAGGGCTACCGCCCACGCGTGGAGCTGGTGCTGGGGACTGCAGCCTTGGGTGGTCAGTGGCTGCGGCTCAGGGCTGCGCCGCTAAGGGTTTAGGGTTTAGGGTTTAGGGTTTAGGGTTTACCCGACGTCAGGGTACCCCCTGTACATGATGGCTCTGTAGGCGTTGGCGTTGAGGCCGATGCCCACGAGAGTGCCGGCCACGAGGGCACTGAGCCAAACCCTGGAGCGGACTTTGTGAGCTGTGAGAGCAACAATAACAAGAAAATAAGCAAAATAAATCCAAAGAATCATAAAAGGCAGCTCGGTGAGCTCCAGCAGCTGCCGCGCGAGCCGCGAGAGCCCGTAGGGGTTGTAGGGCACGTAGCCCGACTGCAGCCGCCGCGGCGGCGGCGGCGAGGGGCCCCCCAGGGGCCCCTCAGTGCTGGCGGCCTTGGCCTGGCAAATGGGGGGTCCCTCTTCAACGGACACGGGGCTTTCCACGCCCACCACGCAGGTGCTTGGCACGCGCCCGCCCCCGCACACGCTGCTGCTGCTGCTGCTGCTGCTGCTGCTCTTCTTGCTGCTCACGCCTCCTCCGCAGCAGCAGTCCTCGTCGCGCGGCGATAGGGCGGCCTCCGCCGCTGCGGCTGCTGCTGCAACTGCAGCAGCTGCTGCACTCGGCGCACACACACCAGCAGCAGCAGCAGCGGCAGCAGCGGCAGCAGCAGAAACAGGTAGAGGCGTCTTGAGTGGCGAACAAGAGGCAAGCAACTGCACAGCAACATGAATGCTCTGCCCTCCCGCTGACTCAGTTGCATGGCCAATACCCTTCTCCAGTGCCTCGTGAGCAGCAGTAGCAACAGCAGCAGCAACGGCAACAGCAGCAACAGCAACAGCAGCAACAGCAGCAGCAGCAGCAGTAGCAGCAGCAACAGCAGCAACAGCGGCATTATGGTAGTTTCAGCAACCGTCGGCTGCAGCCCCGCGCCCACACTGTCTGGCGGCATAAAGCGCAGCCACTTTGGTCAAAAGAAGCAGCAAGAAGCAGCAGCACTGAGGTGTACGTACACCCTAGACCTACACTCATCGCGGGAGTCTGAGGGCGCCGTCGCCGCCTCTGAGCAGTCCGACCTGCGCCCTAGGGAGCAGCTGAGGGGCTGGGTGAAGGGGGGAAGAGCCATGAGGCTAATTTTAACGGTTTTGGAGCTTAGGGTTTAGGGCTTAGGGGCTGGGCGTCGGGGTGGGGGTCTAGGGTTTGGGCCGCCAGGCCGCCAGGGGAGAGGCCAGGGGTTTGGGGCATCGAGAGGTCTGTGCTGACGAACACAGCTGCTCCTGCTGCAGTGGTAAGCCAAGGATACAATGGGGGCCCCTGCTGCTGCTGCTGCTGCTGCTGCTGCAACAGGGGGACCGGCTGCTATGGGGGGCCCCTCCGCTAGGTAAAAAGATGCAAGCAGAGAGAGCAGCAAAGCGGGCGGAGGGG